AAATCAAAACATTTCTGGCCGTTGCAATCGATCCACTAGAACGGTGCTCTAACACCAGGGTACCTGGGTACCGAGACCCTACTCCTTGTGGAACAAAAAGAAGTTTTCGATTCTTGAAAACAAAATAACCTGGGTAGTATCCTCGAACAAAGATGATAAGGGCTGAAAGTAATTTGAGATGAAAACATTAATCTTGCATGGAGGTCATCTGCATAATGTTCGCTACAGTTTGTAGCAAATCACGAAGTTTCTCAGCTAGATTGATGTTTCGAAGAAATCTAATAATTTCAGAGAAGACTTTAAAGAGTTCTTGAGTATCCGGGCTAACAAACCAGGAAAGGAATCCTTACAGGATATTTGGCGACGTTGTAGATTTTCCTCTCAACTTTTCACTGTAGCTGACTTTGCTCGCAGTTCTGCTCCGCCAAGGATCAGTCGTTGTCAATTCAGGAAAACTTTCTTGGGTGACATCTGGGGGGTTTCCCCCTGGGTTCTGGGATGTCCTTCTTTTTCAAAACTCTTCTTGTATTCCTCGCAACCACGGAAACTGCTTACATGCTTTTTAAAATATTTCCCTTTCCGTTCTTCGCACTGCTTTCGGCAACAAAATCTTCTTTCCTGAACTTTACCGGCATCGATCTAGTAGACTAGAACGACTTCTCACATTCCCGCTCGCTTAGCTCATCGTCCGTAACATCGATCGGTGTCGTAGAGAAGAACATTTTAGGTTGTGACCGCAGGTACCTCCGCATGTCAAAAACCAATACACATTAAAATCGCGAAATATTGGAGCTCACACTGAGTACGACCTTCACCTCTCACCGTCACCGAATGAATGAGAATCACAGAATGGCAGAATCCAAGAATCGCCGTTCCAGTGGCGGATTGATACATTACTTTCGTTTCAAAATATTTAGCTTCGAATTCAGCAACTTCAGAAGCTTCTTCGGGTAAAGCCGCATCATATTGATCAAATTCTTCAAATATTCGTTCAATTCTTCCTAATCGCGCTTTTAATTCCGTTTGGCTTAACTGATTACTGAAACTATTGTGAAGCCGCGTTAGGGAAGATTTCGTTCGTTATCTTAAACTTTTAAGATTAGCTTCACTTAATTCTTCCATTATTAGCATGAATAATGATTAATAAGTACAAATAACTTCAACAAGATACTTAACCATTAAAAAATATTTCCACTTATCTTTCTAACGTCATGCAGACGATTTGCAGTACTAGTACTTAAAAAGTTCGTTAAATACAGTTCTAGAGCATATAATTACAACATTTTAAATATCATTAAATGCCTCACCTGGGGAACCAAATAGTTGCCTTGAACTAAAAAGCATCAGCTTTGTATAAAAACTTTATTGATATTTTAAAACATGAAATTCTTTAACACATAGATTGCCTCAGCACAGTGCGGCTAAAACGTTATTATACTGAAACACAAACATGAATATCTGTTGCCATTCACACAAACTCAATAGTAAAATAAAACATGTTGCCAGCAACAGGATTATTGTAAAAATCATAACATAAAATTAAACGGTGAGAAAATAAGTAACGCAAAAAAAAAAAAAAAAAAAAAAAAAAAAAAAAAAAAAAATACAACTATTAAATATACATCCAACAATTGGTATAGCGCCGAGTTCCCCTTGTCTAGAGTACCCCAAGATGGTATGGGCAAGGGTGAGGGCCCACAAGAAGCCCTCACACCAGTAGCCAAGACCCAGCATATTTATTTCAGTTCATTTAAAATACAGTGTCATACAAGGGCCTTCGCAGATAGTACATTGCAAAACAATGATATTTTGGTATAAACAGCATGTTCTTACCGGCTTAGATGTACAGAAATGCCTCTGAAATGCTCATTATTGTAATTAATAAAATGCTGTTCTACAAAATTAATTACTTTAATAAGTTGTCTGGCGCAACGTGAGGATATCAAGCAGCGCAGTCAATGACCGCGACAAAGCAAAAACTGCAAGATAGACATAACTGTCATCTGTTAATCACGCATTGAAATAAAATATGTATCAGTGAAGCTTCCAAAAAAAGGATGATTTAAGAATGCTGAGCACGGTCTAAAATGAAAATTCGTACTTTTCGAGTTGTATTAGTGTTGCAGTATGTGATCCAAATGCAAGATTATACAACTAACCATTTGGCTTATCTTAAATAGCAAGAGGTATAAGTATCAGGTTAGTTATCTTAAACTCAACTAATAGGATGTAAATGCTTATAGTTTTAAACCGAATTTGTGGTTAATATAATTTATCATAAGCGGAAGTTGTAAATCACGTTATATGACTTTTGTAGAGATATTAAGAATCTTTTCTAAAGCAGCAGAGTTGAGAAATGAGCAATGCCCTCGCCGGGACTGGAACAACGGACCTCTCGAATAGCGCCGAGTGTGCTGACCACTACACCACAAAGGCATGCTAAGAAGGCGGGAGAAGTAACTTAAATACTCCCCCTTTTAAAGGGCGACTGGGGATTAGGAGACCCAATCGTGGCCCAGCTTTTTAGCGAGTTCTGCTTTGCATTTTAACATTGGGTCGCTTACTCGCACAGATCGTCCAGCAACAACGGGGTTCCAGCCATTCATTAAGGGCCTCATCGACATCTGGGTCCTTGCCTTCATTCTTCCGTTTTTTGGAAGTTCCTCCTCGTCTTTCACATTGTACCCATTCTTCTCGCAGCTCATTCTCTTGTTTTATCAATCGCGAAATTGTAGTCTTTACCAATCCGGTTATTTCCACCAACTGACACTGACTAGTGTTTCGTGGTTGTTATATGATCTTATCCAGGAACCTAATTTTTTCAGCTAATGTCAAGTCCCGTCGTGGCATTTTGGCAGCGGAGACAAGACACGAGCACAGTTTACTGACTAAAGTGGTCTGAAGAAACCTTGGTGTTTCGGGTTCAATTTGTTGAGGTCAAGAGGGAGATAAAATGCTCGCCATTCAAAGCTTTGGCACTAAAATCATGCCAAAAAGGTGATAAAGTGATAGCTTTCTGGTGCAAACTTTATTCATGATTGACTGGCGGGAATTCCTTTCAGGTGGAGCCGGACACTACTGTTCATTTTCTCGAAACTCGGAAGCGCAAGTCAAGGAAAATGATGCGTGTGTTCACCTCCCAACGGTTTTGCTTTCGTCATGCACTTTAACCTTTTCCAGTGGGCTGAGACATATATGTCCCGCACTTTCACTACTTTAAATGTGTCTCAAGAAATTTCAGCAAACTATGGAAATTTAAAATTTACTCCTTAATATGGATTAGGAAGTGCAAGACCCTGTCGATTTGTTTTTCTGTTCCTTTCATTTAAAATAAGTGACTAAATGGCCATAATACGTTCGAAATTGACCCCTATAGCCCACGGGAAAAGGTTAAGGAATTCCTGATCTTGCAACTCCATATCCTCCCATATGTCGCAGACATCCGCTGCACGCGGCCGACTTGTGGCTTCTGCTTCTTATTCGCTCTCACGTGTTTTGGTCCGATTAAACGGAATTTTGGTCCAAATAAGCGAATAATATTAGGCTTGTGTACGTAGGATTTGTTTCGGTTCTTTAGGATTTGGTCCGAGAAAGCGGCTGATCCGATTATCCGGTGGTCCAATTAACCGGATTCGACTCTATTCAGATGTTTCCTCTCAGTAGTTTTACAGTATTTTTTTAGGAATCAGGATCATGTAGGAGAATTTTCCTAATCTATTTGAGAATTAAATTGATTTGACTTGAGTTATTTTAATACAGATTGATTTGAATCGAATAGGCCATGAAAACGAACAACGATTCAGATGTTTTTAACTGTTGGTGATTATATCAAAAATGATATCGACTATATCGATGTACCATTCTATCTTTTCTTGAAGCCTCTTTTTTATCGAGGCAGCAGTAGGTTCACAGTTAATCTTATTTTTTTCGTAATCTATCTTTAAATAAATAACTTCAATGTATTGCAATAATTTAAGATTACAATAAGTTTTTATTCTACTTTTTCCTGGAATATAATCCCTCTAGTTTATATAATGTATGTATGTATATATATATATACTCACAATACATTACTTACAATTCCAATAAAATTATTAAATAATAAATGTTTTCTTCGGAGACACACTACGTGTTCATTATAATGATATCATTATGTTATGTTAATTGTTTAATATATAATATATTTTCAGCTTATTACATTTCTATTATAATACTATGCGCTATAATTATGTTATTATTTTTTAACCATTGCAACTCATTTTATTTAGTTTTAATACTGAAAATCAAAATATAGAGTCACAGAAGCAGCAGCCAGCAATGCATTCGTCACCCATTCTTCCGACTACAAGTTCATATTATTGTAGTAGAACTTAATTACTATGCAGACTGTTGAGGACAGTCATTTTGTATTTTGAACACCGGCAAGATTTACTTTATATTTATATTAATTTTAAAAAATAAAATCCTTTTGTAGGAAATGAAAATTATATAAACAATATTGGATTCCCTAAATAATGAAACTTTAAAAATTATTCTTGGGATTAATATATTTATGTACTTTTTACAAAAAGTTCTACAACCTTCGTAAAATTTTCATCTTTTATGTCACGTACAAAACGATTAAACGAGTATCACCTAAATATGAAAATTATACCTTCATCTCTGCAGTTTTAATGTTTTTGAAGAGTTTTAATGTAAATGCATAATTACTACTTTTCTTGAAGTTATATTACTGTTATATTTCATCTCATCTTAGTATTAAATACTTTGTGTTATTTTCATAACGATGGGCGAGTTAAAAGCCAGAAATCTTTTTTAAAATACGCACTGAAAATACTTTGCTTGCTTGTCTGAAAATATATGACTTTTATATATCAAGTGGCCTTAAATTGCATGCAGGACTGCAAAGTTAAATTCTTAAATAATTTGATTTTAAATATGAATATTATGGAATTCAATAAATAAAAATTAATCTGGCTTACATTTCTGTTATTTGACAGCTTGGGTCAATGATAGGGTGTTTCCAAACGGCGGAGAAAGAAAGTCTGAAGAAGATTATTGAAAAGGTATTTGAAAAGAATGTTGATAAAATTCTGCAATTTGCAAAAGAAATGGACTAAAGGAATTACCAAGACAACAGAGGTTTTAGAGAAAAAGTTCTTCAGGCAGAAGAATAAAAATATCGGTTACTGAAACAATATTTTGCCTATGGATAAATAAAAGTTCGGATAAATAAAAGTTTTGGAAGCTCAGATGGTAAAAATCGAGTTCTTCACTTTTATTTCATCTGTTTTGATAACGCTTACATTCATAATTGTCTAAATCTAATTAGATAAAAATATATCTGTAAAATAAAATTAATTAATTTGCAAATAAATTAATTAATTATTTTGCATTATTTTTGCTGTCTTATTCGATTATTGCAGGGGAATATTTATTATACATCAGATACACAAATAGTTACAAATTATTAAATATATTCCTTAGAAATTTAGTTAAGCTTCTATTATCAAAACCAGAATCATAAATGTGTATGAATGTATGCATATATGTAAAGATGTATGTGTTCATGCATGCATGTTAATATGTACGTACATATGTATTTGTGTGTATATACTCACGCACATATACGCACATACATACATCTCTGAATGCGGTCCCGATAACAGAAGAGTACTGAAATTTAATATCAAATATATTTGCAAAAATTTGAACCGATGCAATACATCACAATTATCAAATGCTGTGCAGTTTGTAATGTTTCAAAATTAATTTTAGGTTTTAATATTTGTTTGCATAACGTTTTCAGTAAAAAACATTTTGCAATATTAAATGTGTTAAAATTTAACTCAACTTATGTACAAAACTAATTTTACTCCGCACATGTTTATCGGCATAAACATTAGACCATGATAGAGTTTGGTCGTCTTAGGTAGTATTTAGCTAGAAGAAGCCTTGTAAAGACCAGTGCCGAATTATCGCAATCGCTACGTATTTTAAGTACTACAGAGGCAGGTAAAGGATGTAAAGGACTCTTTTTATTTCAGTAAAATAAAAGTTAACAGACGGACCATCTCGTGCTGACAGAAGCCTAAAACGATCAAAAAAGCCATAACTAATCAAGGAAGTCATAAGCTATAACGATGATCAAGAAACGATGATCAAGAAAGTCATAAGCTATAACGATGAGCCAGAAACGATGATCAAGAAACAATGATAAAGAACGATTATCAAGAAACGATGATCAAGAAAGTCATAAGTTATAACGATGAGCCAGAAACTATGATCAAGAAACGATGATCAAGAAAGTCATAAGCTATAACGATGATCAAGAAGCAATGATAAAGAACGATGATCAAGAAGCAATGATAAAGAACGATGATCAAGAAAGTCATAAGTTATAACGATGAGCCAGAAACTATGATCAAGAACGATGATCAAGAAACGATGATCAAGAAAGTCATAAGCTATAACGATGATCAAGAAACAATGATAAAGAACAATGATCAAGGAACGATGATCAAGAAAGTCATAAGTTATAACGATGAGCCAGAAACTATGATCAAGAACGATGATCAAGAAAGGATGATCAAGAAAGTCATAAGCTATAACGATGATCAAGAAACAATGATAAAGAACGATGATCAAGGAACGATGATCAAGAAAGTCATAAGTTATAACGATGAGCCAGAAACTATGATCAAGAACGATGATCAAGAAACGATGATCAAGAAAGTCATAAGCTATAACGATGAGTCTATATAACATGGCTTAACCCAAAGATAATGGACTAAATAGAATTAAGGAAGTAAGTTAGGCTAACAGCTTCACAAGTGGAATAACGCGCAAGTTAGCTCTGAACCAAAGTCCGCGTATCAAACCTAAAGGCGAGAATAACTCAACGCCGCAGAATACAATTCGCAAGAGAATCAAATTAACAAGGTGGCCTTCAAGCAGGTAGAACAGACTCTTTAACTACTTTCTAAAAACTTACTGTAAATAATCTTTCCTTTCTATCTGATTGGAATCACGCCAGCTAGAAATTTACATTCTGGCATAAATGTAAAATAAAACTATGTAATATAAAGCTGAATCCTAGTAATGAGAAATTAACTTTAAACTTATCTTTTTGTTCTTTTTTATTCGTCCATTCTTTTCTTCGCGAAGTCCTTCCAAGTTGCACATAATTCAGGTTGGCGAATCGGAACCTTTGACGGAGTTGAGGCTCTTCCCTCCGCCGAGGCCTTCCTCTTCCCTGGCCTGTCTTGCACTCTCGGCACCTTCTCTGGGGATTTTCATTCTTCGCTTCTCCGGCCTTGAATTTCCCACTGAACATTCCTTCAGCACTTCAGGCAACCTGGAACGATGGAATTTCACGTCGACTTTGTGTCGTAGAAAACTGCTCAGCTGTACGTGTATTCCAAAAAACCTCGATGGCCATTCCTCGTGGTACTTGGGTTTTGGATGTGTGCAGTTTATTTCTAGATGTCGCTTCAGTTGAGGAGCGGAGAGTATTCCCTTCGGTACTATTATATTGTAATAAGACATCCTGATATTCTAGTCTTAAACATACGTGATGAAGCTTCTGGCTACTTGCTTCAGGAACTACCATTTTGTGAGCCTTTATTCTATTTAATGGTCGGTTCTCTAACTGAAAAAAACACTTATCTGCTCTGAAGCAGTATGGTATTTTGAAATTCAACTTTGAAAGAATGCCCAAATACAGCTTCTGGATATTTATAAATACTAACGTGCTTATCTACAAATAACTTTTCAAGCACATAGGATGAGTGACAATCAAGTAGTCATGCTGTTATATTATTAGTAATTGGTAACAGTTTGGACGGTAGATGATTTCGTAAAGTGTGATAAGTACCTGCTTCAATGCTAACTGTTATGTTCTGTGCTTTTCATACACTCCCAAAGATTTAATTCAAACCTGTAAGTAATACTAGAAATTTAAAACACTCGGTGGTCTTTTAAAACAAAGATAACAAAAATGGTGGAGAAACTAAATTCTTCTGATGGAAAGAAATTTCGAAGGGCACATTGAGTTATACATTTTCACGTTAGACGAAATACTGCAACCAAATATTTAATATTTAGCAATGAAGCAAGAGGAATTTCTGCAAATGTAAATCTGCCAACTATTAGACTGTTCTCAAAATTTGAAGATACCAAATTATTCCTTTGTAATCAGTTTAATTTTAGTTTAACCTCTGAGTCGCCAGGGGTTTCACTAAGAAAGCACAAATTTCCCAAAACTACTATGAGAACAAATGATTTTTTTGGATTTTAATGTAAAAACTCTTCTGGTATTTCATACCTGGATTTGTTTTCTCTTGATATATTGCCTTAATTTCTTTGGCATATTTTAATATGAACGTATATATACGTTCTTACGGATATCACAAAAGTATTCTAGGCCGTATATATACGGCCTTGCCTTGTGTTTTAACTAATGCGTGAGTTTTCATGGTTTGTTACATAACCAATTATTTTTCCGGAACAAATGGGAATATCTAAAAAATACATAAAACTTTTTAAAATTAGACAAAATCACGGTTTTTGTTTCATGTAGATCAGGGGTTCCAGCTGGGGTTGGTTTTGTCCACTTGGAAGTAGGAAAAAATTTACAGGGCTCTCAGTGTGATCAAAGGATTGATTGGGATTAATTGCCGTGCATAATAAACATCTCGTTGACTACAGAAAATTATCAATATTGTAAATAATAATTAAATGTGTATTGATATAATAATGTATTATATTGTTACGATATTATACATAATGTAACGCGAAAAAAAATTTAAAGAACAGTCTATGCCGGAAATGTAATAATAAAGTAGAAAATCCATTTAACATTCAATAAACGGGTATCTCGGTAATTTGGCTAGAAATCGCCAAAAGGCGCCGTATTTGGTGACCATTTGGCGATATTTTCGTTCAGTCCGTGTATCACCGTAATACGTATTATAACTAAATAATTGGTAATTGATCAATATATTAGCTACAACCGTAATTTGACCCTCATATTGCTTTCCAGTAATTTCAAGAAGCAAAGAGTACTAAAAGTTTCTCACCACCGATTAAAAACTATTAAGTCAGAATAGAAATTTTGCTCTGAGTTGTTAAATTGTTATTGTTGCGTTTTGTTAGATTAATTGAGATATCTCCAGGTTAGCTTTCTCTTTAGATGCATTTTATATTGAATTTATATTTAACATTATTAGTAGTTTCAAGTGTAATTATTGGTTGCACTCTGTGATACCTCGAACAACTGCACAAGTATTTCTGTTGGAAAACTTCCAGAACTTTGGAGTGTTTCTTTTGATAAAATATATTTTGTTAACCTCCCATCAGACCTATGTGCATTCAGTTTATTACGAACCTGCACGCAACGCACCTAACAGTATAATAAGAAAGAATTCATGTAATATCAATATAAGGGGAAAAGTACACAGTATTACTTAATATATTTTAAAAATCAATAATACTTTTTTAAAATATATGAAATTTTTATCCAGAGAACGTAGTATAAATGTTAACGCAATGGAATACAAAAACGTACAACCTAAATAAAATCTAACGGACCAGATTTTATATTATGACCAAACGGATTTTTTTTTCATTAACCGATACATGCAGTTTGGAGAGCATTTGGGCAAGCGGTACTTTGGGCTAAAAATATAAAAGAAACCGCATATCTTTAGGATTTCAGATAGGCAGTCTCGATAACTGGAGATAAAAATATTTTATTCCGTACAGATTTGTCATTGCCCGCTTTGAAATTACTGAGAATTTTTTAATCAAAAAATCGTTAAAGTTTTACAAATATGAAATCGGCAATAAAACAAATTTCAAATTCGGTTTCCCAGGTACCCATTTTCTAATGGACCTATATTATTAAAAATTGGATGACTCTAGGTACCGTTGTTTCTTCACAGTGCGGGTAGCATACAGATATTCATGTTAATGAAGTCTCACAGGCAGACTTCGCAGTGCGAGTAGCATGCAGATTCTTCATTATTTCTTTCTTTAAATATAATACAGGGCGATAAATTTGGTGGCAACAATTTGAAAAGCGATACATCGCATTTAAATGATTCGACTCAAAATGCCATTTCGAGACTAAGAGCCCTTCTGTAGCTAATGCCCCTTTAAGCAAAAATTTAAAAGAAATCAAAATTTCTTCAGAAGGTTTATGGTTACGAAGTGTTTGTAAAAGTTATTAAAAGATTTTAATGTTTTTTCCCAAGCCATTGAAAACCTGGCGGTCATGAACATTGAAAACATCATTCCGTGGAGGATTTACGAAAGGAATTACAAGAACCTCCAAGAAATTCTCCAACCATGTTAGAACCTCCAAGAAAAGCATTTACTTGTACTTCTTAATGAACT